CATCCTCTCCTCCCCCCTCCTCCTCTCCTCCTCCTCCTCCTCCTCCTCCTCCTCCTCCTCCTCCTCCACTGGCACCACCTCCACCAGGGAGGCCACCTTCAGCGAGGAAGCCCCCGATGCCTCCCTGGGGGGGGGGGGGCGGGCTGCTTCGAGCGAGAGAGAGGGGGGACCACACCACCAGGGGGCAGCCCCCCATAGCTCCTTTACTCGGTATCGTTTCACCGATTCCCATCTCCATCTCCATCCCCTTCGAGACCCCCACCAAATTACCACCCCAGTTGGGAATACACCCCTCGAAACCCGAAGAGCACTACCCATATCCCCGTCTAGGGGGGGTAAATCGGCCAGTGGGGCCCAGGCCACGCCGCTGGGGATGGGGATCGGTTAGATGATATGCATTTAACTGAAAGGGCCCTGGTGGTGGCGGTGCCGCTTTGCCCTGTTCCTGAATGCAGGCAGGGTTCTGTCTCTGGTGTCCTACAACCTTCGTCAAAAGTAACCTCAAAACCGTATACAGTGGCTGAATTGTTTTGTGGGGAGATGTTGGATAGAGTAGCGATGACTGCGAGGTACTTGCATGCGCCGCCCCTCCAATGTCGGTCGTCATCGAACTTCCGAGTCGTTCCAGGTCAGGCTTCCTTTGCCGTGGCCCAGAAACTGGAGGGGCGTCGTATCGACATTGAAGGGCGCGCCGACATCGCAGGGGCGTGTTCGCCGTTTTTGAGGTTGATGTTGACGAGGGTCGTAGTATACGGAGACATTATCACAAACACGCGCTCACATCCAAGCAGACGGCAATCGGACGGGAATCATTTTTGATGTGGTCATGCGTGTACTCGCGGAAGTGTCGGTGGGGGTGCGTTTCTGCCTGTCGCAGTGCCCGCCAGATGTCAGGGAACTTCGGAAATAAAGGCGACGTCCACGATCAGGCAGAGAGACCCGTGAAGTAACAGGAAACGCTGTACTGAATCTTGAAGTCGCGCCGCCGGTTGCCAGGTTTGTGTCTTGTACGCAGGTTCGCGTTTTCATGAAAGGTATCGCTCTGTTGGACCTCCTCACTCTTCACTGCGCTGATGGGGTGACAGCAGCCAGAGTTTGCCTCTACCGCGCCCCGATCGTCATAGATAGAGCGAGAGAGAGATATAAAAAAAGCGGAGACTGTGAGGCTGAGAGCGAGCTTAAAGGGTCTCCGTCGAAGGGCCTCTGTCGCGTAGATTCAGGAGTCCCTTGAATCGGAAAGTCCTTTCCTGGACCGAGCGGGGCTTTCCATGGACTCTTCCCATCGGTGCAGGCCGCCAAGGGCAGTGCAGGGCCCGCCGATTGGGGAGATCGGGGGTACCTCCGAGAGGGGCGTTGCCATTGCCCCGAAGTGCAGTGGAGAGCCCCCCCCTCTCCTCGTCATCCTCCTCCCCCTCCTCCTCCTCCTCCTCCTCCTCCTTCTCCTCCTACTCCTCCCCGAACTTCTTCCCCTCAGCACGCCCGGCTGAGGATCGTACACTGGATTGGCATGGCGCCCCAGAGCTCTCGCGCCAGGTCCTCAGTGTGATTGTTGCGCGGGGTCCTTCTCCCAGTTCGGGGTCTCATGGGTCTGGAGCTATAGATAGCGCGCTCCTGCGGTGCATGCAGGACGAGCTTGACGGGGTGCAGACGCAACGCCGGCGCGGCTGAGCCCCGTGGTGCCCCGTCCGTTTCCCCCGTGCTCTCTTGTCATCCTTGCTCCTCTTGGCGCGAGTACTTTCATTGTGAGGCGACGGTTACGACGACTACTTTCTTCTTGGCAGTTTCTCTTGCGTTGTTGTTGACGCAGCTCTGTCGCCAGCCACTTTGCTATATGCTCTCTCCCTCATTGCGATTGCCTCGCTCAGATCCACTGGCCACCTGCCCCTCCTCACCTCCCGTTCCCCTCACCTCGTCTCTGTCCGGACCCCGTCCTCACGCCCCCCCTTCTCGCGCCCTCCCCTCGATGAGTCTGGCTCCGCCGCTCAGCTGCGGACTGGATCCGCTCGTCCTTCCCAGCCCCGCAGAGGCTCGCCTCCCGTTGGCCCGCCTCGCCCTGCAGGTATCCACGCCACTGCCGACCAGTGCGGGGCAGCCTGTGCCGCCTCCCCTCGCTGCAAAGCGTTCGGCTACCGCGCCCAGCGGTGCGCCGACGGCGAGGGCAGCGGCTCGGCGCTGGCTGGCCCCGCGTGCCTCGTGTGGGAGGGCGACTGCGACGAGGACGGGAAGAGGGGGGGTCAGGGCTGTCGGCTGCCGGGTCGCTTCGGCTGCGTCGCCACCGGTTGCGTTCCTTGGCTTCGGTTCGGTCGGCTGTTGTGTCGCTCGCAGAAGAAAATCGCCATCGACATAAACTTTTGGCGCTCCGCGCGGATTTCTTGCATCTGCGCTGGGCCCCCTCCCTGGCGCGGGGAGCGCGCCAGGGGCGAAGCCGGAGGCGCCGCCAGGGGCGCCCAGCGCAGATCAAAGAAGTCCGCACGGAGCGCCACAAGTTTAAGGGTATGGCGTTGTTTCTTCTTCTATAATTCTAGTTGTTTCGATGTGTTGCGTCGCCGCGCCCTGCGAGGCTGGTCGGTGCCTGTCGACTTCGCCTGGTTTTGGCTGTGCTGTCGGTTTCCGGTCGTTGCTGTTTGCTGTGCTGTCGTCGGCATGGGCGGCCTCCTCTTGCTGTGGCCGAAGCACGTACTACAGTCGGGCAGCGTGCATGGGCGGATGCCGCGCCTGGCAGTCAGGTGTCCAAAACGATGTCCACGTGCGGTTCTCGAAGAAGAAAAAACGCCATAAGCATAAACTGTTGGAGCTCCGCGCGGATTTCTTAGATCTGCACCCTTGCTGCGCCTCCAGCGCCGCCCTTGGCGCGCTCCGCGCCCCTGTGAGGGAGGTCAAGCGCGGATCCCAGAAGTCAGCACTGAGCGCCAAAAGTTTCTGTGTATGACGTTTTTTCCTTTCTATCACAATATGAAGACATGTAACAACACGGGTAGAACGTCTTGCGGACTCACAGATGTATGATGTGTCATTGCCTCTGGTGTCCGAACAGCCAAATGGGCGATTTCGTGCTCGTCGTCGCCTTTTGCCGCGTTGATTTCTCACTGCGCTGTCAAACGCCCGATTCGATTGGATTGCTCAGTCTACTCGAATGCTGTGTGCTGTGCACCAAGGTAACGCGCAGCCCGTGATTTGCTTGTTGCTCATCAAGCTGACTTGCAGTTGGACGACCCCGTCAGGGACCGGGACACCCATCGTGACAACCCCTGGACAACTATCGGGACAACCACAGGGACAACTACAGGACAATCTTGAATCTTGGGCACGCCCCAGCGCGCGCAAGCCAGCCCCCCACGCACGCCTCGGCGGGCCAGGACGCGACTCGTTTTGGCGTGACTTGGGCCCAGCTGGTGCAGGAACTCTTGCAGTTTCGCCTCGCCCCGGCCTCGGCCGCACGCACGTCAGGCACGGCACGGACCGAAACCGAAACCGGCTTCCTGGTTGGGGGCTGTCGTTTCACGTCGGCCTCACCCTCCCAACATCCGATCTGTGCCCAGGAGACCGAGGCGCGATCCCATGGATACGAGATCCCAAGGACACGTTCTGCTCGAGGCATCCACGCAAAGGCCGCCTTGTGTCCACGTGGCAGCTGCCGAGGAGTCTAGACCGCGATGCAGTAGATGTTGATAGGCTCCTCGCTTGCGTGGAAGGGTGTCCCTTCGCCAGGGTGTGCTGTGGTGCTGGGTTGAAGGCGGCGTCCAGGGGCGCCACTTCAGGACCTCCGAGGGTATCTGGAGGGATGTTACCAGGGTGGCGTCTCCCCCTCAAGCAGCGCACCCTTGGCAGAGGTCACCCTTTAGTTGTCCCAGCGCCGTTTCTTCAAAATCAGGCCAGGTCGGAGCGAGGGAGGAGCGCGTCAGCAGGGAGGACGGGCAGGAGGCTGGACGTGATATCGCACGAGGGCGAGCATGAGGATGCGGATCTGTCGTTGGTGCTGGTACCGATGCTGACGATGATCGGCGAGGGCGGGGAGGAGGACGACGACAACAAAGGACGACGATCACGCGGAAGAGCAGGCTGCCGAGGGCGGCGGCGGCGACAGCGCCGCCGCCGCCCTCCGCGCCGACGCCGCTCGCCGCGCCGCCGCCGCCGCTGCCCAGACCATCGACGGCCGCCGAGCCGAGGGGCCGGGCCGAGGGCCGCCGCCGCACCGTGGGCCCGCCGTTGGGGGCCGCACCCGCGGGCGTTCCGAAGCCGGCAGGAGCCCAGCGGCTGCTGGGACCTGTACAGGCCGGCCTCGCTGCGGCAGCTCGCCGCCGACGCCCTGGTGGGCGCGCAGGCCGCGGCTCCGGGCATCGGTTCAGTCGGGCCCGTCCCTCCTCTACAGGGGGAATATTCGCAAACAATCAAGAAATAGTCGGGGGACTATTTTTTGAGTATTTGTGAGCATCTTTTGGATATTTTTGGGGTATTTTTTTTTACTTTTCGTCCAAAATCCCCCTGTAGGGGGACAGGCCCGACCGAAGGCATCGGGCGGGCGCGGCCGCGCCGCGCCGTGCGTGCGGAGGGGGCGGGGGCGAGGCAGAGGAACGGCCGAGGTGGCCAAGGTCGGCGGCGGCGGGCACGGGGCAGGGGAGCGGGGCGGGGGTTGTATGCACGTTCAAGCCGTGGCGAAGCGCCCTGGCTCGCCTATCGGCCCACCAAAGGATGCTCTGAGAACCTTTAGTGGTTCGCACGAAAGGTTCTTAGGACATTTCTGGCCCGGGCTGTCTTGTTTTAACACATCGGGTGTATGTTCTAAGAGCATGGTGTTTGCTCTTAGAACTTTTTGGGGTTCTAAGAACATTTCGTGGTAGGCCTGTTGGAATGCCGGGACGGTCGGTCCCTGCTCAACACGTCTGGTGGTCAGGGATCAGTTCGTTCTTTGGAACCTCCTCCCGAGGAGACTGCACTCTGAGGGGTTCACTCTAGTTCGGATTGGTGCACCGAGTCGACGTGCACAGTTGACGCACCGGGTTCTCGTTCCGAGTTGGGGTGCCGATGCGAATTGACGAACCGAGTGAACGTACCGAGTCAACGTGCCGATCGTCGTTAACGCGGGGCTTTCTGAAGAGTTGCCCCCAAGACAGACCTGAGGCAGGGGTTCTCAGCAACGTAATCAGGCATAGGCGTGTGGTTCTGGATTCCGCGGAGTTCTCCCGCCCTACAGTCGTCGCTTCCCCCAGGGCCCCCCTTCGAATGCCGAGGGACGCCCCGCTCCTTTCGGCAAGACGCTCCGCAGCTATCGCCGTTGCCTCTCTCCTTTCGGCCTCCTTGTTGCACTCCTTCATCTCGGAGGCCCCGAGTGCTCAGCGTAATGCGGCGCCCCCCTCGGAGGCGCCTAGGGCCGCGAGCATCATCGGGGGGTGCCTCTGAATCGACCGTGCGGCCCTGTCCGATAACCGCTCGGACGTGTGCATTTCTCCTTCGGCGAGGACCACCGAGGAGGAGCAAGGGCGCCCTCGAGGGCGCGAAGTTATTCGCGCTTCGCGGTTCGGCTCCGATTCCTCCTCATCCTCCTCTTCTTTCCTGGGAGGCGGCGCGAGAGCGCGAAGTTACTCGCGCGCAGCGCGAAGCGCGAAGTTGGGAGCCCCTGGAGGAGCACCCCTGGATCACCTGGCGGAGAAAGCCACGCACGACACCGACAAACAGCACAGGGAATGGACGTCCGAGCGACGGCCAGCCCCCGCGTATTACTCCTGCATGGGAACGAAAAGTGGCATAATCATGAGAAACTCTGAGGTCCGCGCGGATTTCTCGGATCGGCGCTGGACCCCCCTCCTGGCGCGCGGAGCGCGCCAGGAGCGGCGCCGGAGGCGCCGCCAGGGGGGTCCAGCTCGGATCCGAGAAATCCGCGCGGACCTCAGAGTTTCTTATGTTTATGCCACTTCTCGTTCCCCCATCCTCCGCTGCCATCTCTCTGTTCCTCCTCTCCTGCAGCTGTCTCTGTGGTGCGCCCCCTGCCCCGGCGCGGCCCGTCGGCCTCCCGGACGCGCTGGCGCCCGCTCCCCCGCTGCCGACCCCTCGAGCTCCGCCGCCCTCCGTCCCGGCCCCCCCCCTTTGGCTAACGGCGACGATCGCGAGGAGGAAAAGATCAGAGGAGGAACAGGTAGCAAAGGAGGAACAAATCAGAGGAGGAGGAGGAAAAGATCAGAGGAGGAAAAGATCGCGAGGAGGAAAAGATCCGAGGAGGAAAAGATCAGAGGAGGAAAAGATCAGAAGATCGGATCAGAGGAGGAACAGTTCAGAGGAGGAAAAGATCAGAGGAGGAAAGGGTCGGGGGGACCACAGATCAGAGGAGGCAAGGGTAGCCATACCTCTCCCCCCCGCCCGTTTTCCCCCCCTTTTGGGACTCCTGGGCATTCCTCGTCGCCACCGCTGGATGCACCTCGAAGTCCTGGTCAGAGCGCACCCCGGGAGAGGTCCGGGGAGTAGCAGTATTGGTACCTTTTGGTTTCCCAAACAAACGGGGTGGTGACCACACCGTGTAGTGAGTCGGTAGGGATTCGGGGTCACCGCATGGTTCTGGGACCCGGGTCGTCCTCCGAGGACGTCTCGGGCGACTGGGGCATCCGGGGTCCCAAAAGCCGTGCGTCGACGGACCGTGCGGTGAGGACTTGGGGGATTTCGAGGTCACCGCGCAGTTTTTTCGGGACTCCAACATTGGGGGGGAGGGGGACGGTTGGACCCCCCGTGCTTGTGCTCCCGCGCATACTTCGGCGATCGCGGCGCGCCCCCGCCCCGACGTGCCCCCACCCTGCCGAAGCGTTACCGCTTCGCGGGGGCATCGCCCCCTCTGCGTCTGACGACCGTCGCCAGGTTTTCTTTCTTCTGCCATGTTTCACTCGGGCCGGACGAGAGGGTTTCTCTGAAGGGCTTAGGCGACCCGTCCTCCCTCCTCCTCCTACTCCTTCCTCCTCCTCCTCCTCCTCCTCCTCCTCCTCCTCCTCCTCCTCGTCCTCCTCCTCCTCCTCCTCCACCTCCTCCTCCCCCTCATCCTCGGATCGCCTACGGCCCTGGGGGAAACCGTGCAGGCGCAGCAGGTCTGGAAGGGGCCCCTTGTCCAGATCTCCCCAAGACGCGGGGAGGCCCAGGCCCTGCGGCCGCGTGCGCCGTGCGCCGCAGGCGGCGCTGCCGCCAGCGCGCCGCGCCGCGTGGCGCTGGCCTAGCTCCAGCAGCGCGCCCGCTCAACTCCCTCAACCTCCTCCTCCTCCTTCTCCTTCTCCTCCTCCTCCTCTTCCTCCTCCTTTTCCTCCTCCTCCTCCTCCTCCTCCTCCTCCTCCTCCTCTCCTCCCCCTCCTCCTCCTCCCTCCATGTCCTCCTCCCCCTCCCTCCCCCTCCTCCACCCCCTCCTGCCTCCTCCTCATCCTCCTCCTCCTTCCCCCTCCTCCTCCTCCTCCTCCCTCCTCCTCCCTCCTCCTCCTCCTCCTCCTCCTCCTCCTCCTCCTCCTCCTCCTCCTCCTCCCTCCTCCCCCTTCCCCTCCTCCACCTCCTCTCCTCCTCCTCCTCCTCCTCCTCCTCCTCCTCCTCCTCCTCCTCCTCTCGGGTCGCCTACAGCCCTGCGGGAAACCGTGCAGGGGGGGGGGGCATCGGCCCCGACACTTAGATGTTCCAACCTACCTTAGCCTTGATCATCAGGAAGATCTTCGAGCGCCATGGTAGTTCTGAAACTGGGGGGGCTCTGGGAGGCGATGCTCCTTCGACACTGCATCGCTGCTTCGATACTGCTCTTGGTGCTCGAGATTCTTTCTGGCACGTGGTCCTTGAGTACGATGGGAGCAGCCTAACCGACTCGTCCACTCATCGCCGACAGGGGGCCCCCGAGGGCCCCGGCCTCCCCATGGGCCGCGCGGTTTCGCCATCGGGTGGCCCGCGCCGCCGAGCCCTGGCGGCGAGGCGTCTCCCACTCCGGGTCGATGCTCTCCCCCAGAGCCTCGGCCCCGACTCGCCCACTCATCGCCGACAGGGGGCCTCCGAGGGCTCCGTCCGGCCTCCCCATGGGCCGCGCGGTTTCGCAATCGGGGGGGCCCCGCGTCGCCGAGCTCTGGCGGCGAGGTGGCTCCGACTCCGGGCCGATGCTCTCCCCCAGAGCCAGGCCCTCCCCACAGTGTAGACCCAATGCCGAGAAGCACCTTGCTCGCCTCCAGGGGGCCCTGGTTTTCTGGGATGTCGATGATTTTTTTCCTGTGGGAAGCATGACGTTCCCACACCAAAAAGCAGTGGACGGCTTGGGATCTCAGGGTTGGGTTTCTTGTGGAAGCTTTCTTGTGGACCGGTAACGGTAATTCGGGCATGTCCCTCTATAGGAGGAGAATTCCAAAATTAGCAAAAAATAGTTAGGGGACGATGTTTGGACTATTTTTGAGGATGTTTGGTCAATGTTTGGCTATCCTTTTGCGCATGTTGCCCATCCTGTTGCGCATGCTTGATCCAGAATCCGCATGTACAGTCGGGGCCCTGAAGAATGAACCCTTTTCGTTGGGGTGGGGCTCCGTGTTCCCTAATTGTTTCGCAGCTTGCCTTGGATTTTCCTTAGGCTTTCGATACGAAGTCGAAGTTCAACTTATGGAAAATGGGGGCCTCGTTCCTTCTTTAGGGTTCCTTGGGTCAACGCCTCGACTGCAGGAGGACATGCCCGCCCTGCCCCTCGCATTGCCTCTTGGCCCGTGTGCCGTGGCCGCAGGCAGCGCTGCCGCCCGTGCGCCGCGCCGCGCCGCCGTCGCCCGCCGCAGAGCGGCGGCCGCCGTCGCGCCGCCGTCGGGGTCGTCGCGCCGCCGTCGGGGTCGTCGCGGACGGGGCCGTCGGTGGCGGTGCGCCCGCTCGAGAGGGCCCCCGCCGCCGCCCCCCCCCCCCCCGGGGAGGGTCGCCCGCGGCGCAGCCGCGGGGATCCCGCCGCGGGGCCCTGCCGCGACTCGCCCCGCGGTGCGGCCGCCGCCGGCGGGGGCCATGGCGGAGGCGGCGGCCGAGGCCGAGAGCCCCCTGGTGGCCGCGGAGTTCTCGCCCGCGCCGGCGCGGACGCTGCAGCCGGCGTCGGCGGCGCGCGAGGAGCGCGAGATGTTGGCGTATCGTCAGGTCGGGCGTGTCCCCCTACAGGGGGAGCAGTCGGAAGTAGTCAAACTGTAGTCTGGGGGCGATGTTTCAGATTATTATTGTTTGGCTGTGTTGGAGTATGTTTTTCCCTACCTGGGCTCTGCCTAGAAGGGTTCTTACCGTGTATGCTTAAAGGGCCGGGCAGTGGTCCTCGCCCCGGGCGGTTCCCCCAGTATCCGCCCCGCGGTTCCCCCAGTGACGGCCCCTGAGCTTGGCGTTGCTTATCTCATCTTAGCTTAGCTTGTTCTCTACCTATGCTCTGCCTAGAGGGTTCTTACTTTGTTTGCTTAAAGGGTCCGGGCAGTGTAGGCCGCCCGCCCCGGGCGGTTCCCCCAGTCCCCGCCCCGCAGTTCCCCCAGTTGCGCCCCTGGGTTCACCCAGCTTAGCTTAGCTAAGCTTAGCTTAGCTTAGTTTAGCTTATCTCATCTCAGCTTAGCTTAGCTTAGCTTGGCTTAGCTTTGCTTAGATTAGCTTAGCTTAACTTATATTAACTTAGCTTAGCTTAGCTTAGCTTAGCTTATATCGTCTTAGCTTAGTTTAGCTTAGCTTTGCCTAGCCTAGTTTAGCTTAGCTGTAGCTTAGTTTTAGCTTAGCATTAGCTATAGCTGTAGCTGTAGCTTTAACTTTAGCTTAGCTGTAGCTCAGCTTTAGCTTATCGTTAGCTTAGCTTTAGTTTAGCGTTAGCTCAGCTTTAGCTTAGCTTTAGCCTAGATGTAGTTTAGTTTTAGATGTAGGTGTCTTTAGTTTTAGCTTAGCTTTAGCTCAGATTTAGCTTAGCTTTAGCTTAGCTTTAGCTTAGCTCTCGCTTAACGTTAGCCTAGTCTTAGCTTAGCTTTAGCTTAGACTTAGCTTAGCTTTAGCTTAGCTTTAGCTTAGCGTTAGCTTAGCTCTATCTTAACTTTAGCCTAGTCTTAGCTTAGCGTTAGTTTAGCTCTAGCTTAGCTTTAGCTTAGATTTAGCTTAGCTTTAGCTTAGCTTTAGCTTAGCCTTGGCTTAGCCTTGGCTTAGCTTCAGCTTAGCGTCAGCTTAGCTTTAGCTTAGCTTTAGTTCAGCTTCAGCTTAGCTTTAGCTTAGCTTTCGTTCAGCTTTAGCTTAGCTTCAGCCTAGCTTTACCTTAGCTTTAACTTAGCTTTAGCTTAGCTTTAGCTTAGCTTTACTGCTACTACTAATGCTGCTTTCCTAGGGGCTCCAACTCCTAGGTAGGGTCGCACTGGGATCATGACTGTTTTCTTTTTTTCGCCCCAAATCCGCCTGTATCAAGCAGTGGCGAAGCGTCTTGGCTGGCCTCTAGCCCTACCAAACCACGTCCTAAGAACCTTTCGCGGTTTCCACGACATGTTCTCAGAACAGTTCTGGCGGAGCCTGTTTTGCTTTATCACATCGGGTTCATGTTCTGAGAACATCGTTGTTGTCATTGGATGCCGGGACGGTCGGTCCCTGCTCGGCTGTAGGAGGACCTGCCCGACCTCAGCGTGTCGATCCTGCTCGAGCCCGGCGTCTTTGGGGTCGTCCGGCGTGGGGCCCCATGACGGCCCTTCGCAGCGCGCGCCCGGCCCGGAGGAGTGGCGCTCGGCCAGGGAGGTCCGGAGGCTCTGGTCGTGGGGCTCTCCGCGATGCAGCATGTCTTCGGCACGAGCGAGTTTTCGGTTCGTGGACTCCCTCTCGGGCCTCTCTTGGGATCGTCCTGGGGCCCTTCTGGGCCGTCTGGGGCGCCTCTTGGACCGTCTTGGGGCCCCCTTCGGCCGTCTTGGGGCCGTCTTGGGGGCCTCTCGGGCCGTCACGGGGGCTTCTGGGGCCGTCGTGGGGCTTCTTCGGCACGGAAAGAACGGGTACAATGCCCGATAGCAGTTCCAGTTCATGTTGAGCAGGACTCGCTGTCCGCGCCGCCGCGGCTGGTGTCCATTGGAGGCAGAAGGCCGCCTGCCCAGCAGCGGCCGCTGTCGGTTTGGGACAGCATTTGTTGCTGGACATTCTGCTTATTTTTTCCGTGCCCATGTCGGGCGTCCAAATTTTTGTTCGATGCGTCGGATCTCTGGGGCGCCGCCATGGAGCAAACAGAAGGCGGGCCCGCTTGTCAGAGGCGGGCTCGTTGAGGCCACCGTTGTGGTAGTGGGCCTTTTCGGAGGGCCCCCTCGTCGGGAAGGCTGGACGCGGCACCGCTCTTGAGCTGCCGCCGTCTCAACTCGCCCCCGCTCCGACCACAGCCTGGGGGGCCGTGTCCCCTGCGGCAGGTTCGTGCCGCGGCAGCTTCGCGCCACGTGTCACCGAGGGCGTTCCGCTGCTCGCAGAGTGCCTGCTCGCAGACAGCAAACGCCCGGAACACAAAAACAGCATGTTTTCCTTTGTGTGGCAACGCATCGAAGATCCCGCGCGGCGGATCCCGGCCATCTGCGAGCAGCTACTTCTCGCGAGCAGTGAGGCGCGCTTGTCGAGCGTGGGTGCGGCGGCGGCCCAGCGTGGGCGTCCAGGGCCTGGCGCCGCCCGCGGCCCAGAAGCGGCCGATGTCGAACGATGCTCTGCGCTGATCGGGAAGCCGCGGCTGTGGACGGCTGGCTGGCCCACGCAGCGCGGGAAGCCCCACGCGCAGGCCGCCACGGCGGGGACCCTGCCGCCCCCCCCCCGCCCATAGGGGGACCCCTCGATCTCGTCCCGCCCCAGCTCCCTCGCGCTGGGCACTCTCGGGGGCCTCCTGGGAGGCCCCATGTCGGGCTCCTGGCCCGAGCGCGCGCCCCGGGAGAGGTCCAGGGAGTGGCGGCAGCGGTGCCACATCCCCCCACCGATGCGATCGGTGGGTTCCCCAAGGTGGGTAATGATCAGAGGAGGGCAGGGTGAGACAAGGGTGACGTTTTTGCCTTTTTCGCCTCCGAGGGGCCTCCTCTTCGCCACGGCTGGACGCAGCGTGAAAAATCGGTGCGTTTGGAACCCGGGAGGGGTCCGTGGACCGATTTTGAGCCGATTTGGCCACCGTTGTCTCGCGGCCGTTGTCTCACGTTGCTCTCCTCCGAAATGAGGGGACGCGGCTCCCCCCATGGTGGCCAGTCCGCGAGGAGAGCGGGTGGACGAAGCTGAAGCTCATGCTTGCGGCGCGCCAGAAGCTCGCAGATCCCACCTCCACTCTCGTGCGGAAGTCGGTGGGCGTGATGATGGGGGTGACCCTGGCGACGAGGTTGAACCAAAGTTCTTGGCTCAAGAGCTCGGTGCCGCTCAAGCTGGGTGTGGTCGTCTTCTCGTGTATGGCTGCGCGCGTCGTGGTGCTTTTCGCTTTCGGTTCTAAATTGAAGAAGGGGCTGCCTACAGCCGACGTAGTCGCAGGAAATTTGACGTTTGCTTGGTCATCTTACCTCTTCCTGATCCAAGTGGTCCAGCGTTTTTACTTCGGCTGCGAAGAGGACAAGGCCTTCCAGTGCGGGTACCAAAACACTTTGGGGTGCGCAGTGGGGGCCTCTGTCATTTTGCATATTTTGGTCAACGCATGTGATGCCATTCAAGACGAGTACAATGAGACACACAACCAGTTCGCAGCCAAATTCGGCAAGCTATGTCTGTTGGCCGCCCCGCTGGTCCTGGGGTGGACGTGGAAAGACTTCATGGTGGCCGCGCAGATCGGCCTCGAGGAGGAGGGCGAGCAGTCTGGACGAGGACTGCCCGAGACCGCGCGGATGGCGACGACTTTCGGGCTCCTCATCTGGTTCTTCCACATGTACAGCATATCGGCAAGGACGGCGAGAAGGCGAACTAACCCGGAAGCAGATTCCAAGTATGAGCAGCATTTGCTCGATGTTCAAGGTGGTGCCCTATTGCCTCTGAGCTTTTTTGACGTCAGTCTCCTCGGGGACCTCCTCGAATTCGTTGACCAGACCGCGCTGCAGATGATGGCCTGGGAGCTAAAGGGCGTGGTCGGCTCCTTGAGCGTGGGTCAGCCTGATAGCATCGTGGTGTTAGTAGCCCTCTGCGGTGTTCTCGTTTTCGCTCTAGTGCAGTGGGTGGACAAGATAGCGAATAGCCCTGAGAGATGGGCATCTGCATCCGAGATGTGGAAGCTCGTTGCAAAAATACACCGCCTCGCCGCACAATCAATACCACTGACAGTCGGAATTGGGGTAAGCAATGTCTGCTTGCTAATTTGGAAGCATGCCTTGGACGTGGTCTTTGGTCCTGGTGAAGAGTTCAGCGTGATGCAGCAGACTCTTCAACAGCAGATTTATCCAGCTGCCTGTGGCAAACCCCGCCACCGTGCCCGTGCAACAGCGTAGCAGGAAGGAGGCTGAGTGTAGGAGCAGCGCAATTCCGACGAGACGTCTGCACTGGGGCGGGGTCGTGATCCCGACCTCGTCTTCGTCTGAGATCTTCGTTGGGCCTCCTGGGGGCCTCCCTGGAGCTTCCTGAAAGCTTCTCGGGGGCCTCTTAGAGGCCTTATGGGGCCCGTTTGGGGCCTTTGGGGGCCACTTGGGCCGTCTTAGGCTTGGCCTGGCTGACGCCTACGGAGAGCGCTGCGGGGGCCTCTCTGGGCAGTGGTTGTGCCCTATTGGAGCGGTTCGCTGCCGTTTGGGGGTCTTTTTGGGAGCCCCTTCGGCGATCCGTGGACTTTTTTGGGCTGGCCTCAGGCCCTCTTGGAGGTCTCTTTGGCTCTCTTGGGGCTATCTTGGAGACCTCTTGGAGGCTTTAAGGCCGTCTTGGGCGGTCAGAAACCCGAACAGGCGAGAACCTCAACATCGCAACATCTTCCAACAGCATATGGAACATCAATGGTCTTGGCCTCATCGGGCTCGTCAGGAGGGCCTCTTGGAGCCCTCTTGGGTCGTCTTGGGGGCTCCTTGATCTGTCTTGAGACTGTCTTGGGAGACTCTTGAGCCGTCTTGGGCCATCTATGTGTCATCTTGGCTGCTTTGAAAGCCGTCCTGGAGGCCATGAGGCCCCCATAGAAGGCCTCACGACAGATCAAGGCCCCCACGACGGCCCAAGAGGTCTCCAAGAGGCCTTCTGGAGAGCCCAAGTGGACCAAAATCATTAATGTTCCTTAGACTTTTGAAGGGTTGAGTTCTGGCGTGTCTGGTTTCCGACCGCCGAAGACAGCCCAAGAGGCCTCTCTCGGCCGTTTTTGCTGCTCTCCTGGAGCGCTTTAGCGCCGTCGTGGGGCCCTCTGGGGAGTCAATTGGGCAATGTTTGGGTCCTCTTGGTCCGTCTTGGGGGCCTCTTGGGCTGTCCTTGAGCTATCTTGGAGGCCTCTCGGAGGCTTCTTGGGCCGTCCTGGGCGGTCGGAAACCCGAACAGGCGAGACCCGCACAGTCCTCCGAACTCCCAAGGGGCATCAACGGTGCTGGCCACCTCGGGCTCTCCAGGAAAGCCCCTTGGAGCTCTCTCTTGGGCCGTCTCGGGAGCCTCTCGGGCCGTCCTGAGGCCCTCTTGGGGAGCTCTCTTGGGCCGTCTTGGGAGCCTCTTGGCGGCCTCTTAGGGCCGTCGCGGGGCTGTCCTGGAAGGCTCTTGAGCTATCTTGGGCCATCTTGAGCCGTTATGTTGTCGTGTGGGTTCTCTTGGCATCCGTCTTGGAGGCCACCTTAGCCGTCTGGAGGCCGACAAGAGCACCGGGGAGCAACTTTAGGGGGGGGCCTTTTTTTTTACCCCGCGTGTGGTGCAGGGGGGGTGGTCGGCCCTAGATAACATTAGGAAACACTCCCAGATGGACCACAGAAGCATTCCAACACGCCCACTCCGTGCAGGCAGGGCGGCGGATTTCCTTGTAATCGCCCTGATTGCTTCAATTGTGTTAGTTGTTTCCGATGGCGGCGGCGAGGAACGAACGTACCATGTTGTCAGCCTGGGCCGCAACAACAAAGTGGAGGGCCACGTGTTTTCGGGTCTAGTCCACGACGCTTACAGAGACGCCTCTGAAACTTTCCGCGCGAAGCGGAAAGCATGGCAGGAGGGAGGCGAGGGGGCCCCTGTCATTGCCCGCCTCTACGGCACCAGCGGCAGAGTACTGGACGAGTTTTCGGGTGCTGGTGTTCAGTGGACGCAGCTCGACAGTTGGTGCCACCAGCAGCTCGCCCACGGGGAGAAGTACAAACCTCTGGTCGCTCAGGCGGGCGAGGAGACGTACAAAACCAATGAGTTTACGTTGCTCGAGGAAAAACAACTGCATCAACACAGACTTTGGAATCTCAGCGCGGGTTTCTTGGATTGTTCTGGCGTCGATCCAAATCCGCGCGGACCTCCTGAAGTTCCTGTTTGTGCTGTTTTTCTTCATCTAGTTGCAACTTTCTGGTGTTCTCGTTTGTCCGACGCAGGTTCGGCGCGGAGTCGATGTGGATTTGACGTGGAGTCGACGCGGGTCAGATGTACATTCGTGGGTTCGACGCGGGTAACGACGCGACGGGACAGCAGCGTCCCCCGAAAATGCAACACAAGCCTTTGAGTGAGGCTAACGGCCAAGGTTGAGTTTGGGAACAGCAGCCGGCCCTGGCCAGACTCGTCTTGGGCCCTACACTGGTGCACCAGTCCAAGGCTAAGGACAGGAATGGCCAGGACTGGTGGTGGTGTATATTTGCCGATTTCCCGTGGGTGGTTTCGATTGGGGCGTCCAGTCAATTTCACCGGGGGGATGCTCTTCAGGGCGCATTTGGCACGTCGTTTCCAGTGTGCAGGCGGCAAGTGTGGTTATCCAACGTGCGATTGGGAGCGCATTCGGCATGTGTGTGTGTGTGTTTCATGGCAGGGGGATATCCATTATATGCAAAATTAGGTGAAGGTATCTAGCATGCGCCTGGGCGTGCCTTTGGCGCGTTTCTTCATTTCTCTAGGCGCATGATGGGAATACCAAGTATGCGCTTGGACGTACATGTGATATGTGTTTCTGCCCGTGCAGGCGCCCAAGGGGTGTACCCAACAGGCACGCGCCTGGGCGCGCATCCGCGAAGTGTTCTCGCATGTGTAGGGGCGACGGGGGGGTATCAAATGTGCGCCTGGGCGTGCACCTGTCACATGTTGTCACCTTTGTAGGCGTCCGCGGGGGTATCCAACGTGCGTCTGGCAAGGGTACCTGCCGAGGGTGTCTTGAACGGAGCGGCAGGTTCTTCAGAAGTAGGAGATCTTGCGCGATAGGGGTATGGCCAACGTGCGCCTGGCATGGTGCGCATGTGGCGTGCGTTCCCGCGCGCGTGCAGACGCCAGGGGGTATCCAGCATGCGCTTGTGCCCGCAGTTGGCGCGTGCCTTCGCCCTTTCGCGTGTGCACGCGGCAATTGGAGCGGGGATTATCCAAAACGCGCGCGGGCATTTGGTGCGTGTTGTCGGTGGTGTCGGCGCCAATCGGGGGGGGGGTATCCCGCCCTTCGCGTGTGCAAGCGGCAATTGGAGCGGGGATTATCCAAAACGCGCGCGGGCATTTGGTGCGTGTCGTCGGTGGTGTCGGCGCCAATCGGGGGGGGGTATCCAACAGGCGCCTCGGCGCAGGCGTGTCGTGTGTGGCTTCACTTGTCCTGGGCGTCGCCAGGGCAGGTCGTCCACCGCCCCGCGGTCCTGCGGCGAAGGGGGGGGGGGGAGGAGAACGGGAGGGGGGGAGGAGGAAGGGGGCGGGGAAAGAGGAGGACGACGACAAAAGGTGAAGGGTAGAGTGAGAGCCAAGGGGGACAAAGTGAGGTGGACGACGACGGCGACGACAACGAGAGGGGGGGGGAGCAGGAGGAGGAGGAGAGTGGCGGGAGTTGCGGGACGGGGGCGGTGTGTGGCTTCTGGCTTCCTGTCTGCTGTTTTCGAATGTATGTTTGAGGAGGCATGTGGAGGCCCTGCGGCGGTGATACTGACGGCCTCAGGCGAAACGCACGGACCGCATCACACTGCGTAGCACAGGACACCGCATAGGAAAGCGCAGCATGTAATGACATTGTATACCACGGTATGGTACATCAGCGAATATCCGAATCGTGAGGGTAAAGCTGAACTTAAGTCGGGCATGTCCCTCTATAGGAGGAATAGTCAAGAACAGTCATAATATAGTCTGGGGACGTTGTTTTTTGTATTGTTGATAAGTTTCCACTAGTTTTGACTAGTTCCATCTTTCTTCCAACATTCGCATGTAGGAGGACATGCCCGACCTGAAGCTGAACTCATGTTTCTTGCCTGGTTTGTGGGCCCCTCTGGTTTCTGGTAATGGCATGGGCCCAGCGTTCTCTTTGGTCTTTGGGTTTGATGGCTCTAGATAAGGCGTATGTTCAGAAGCAGGCGCTGGATTTCACACGCGCAAAAGTACGTGCACGGAGGGCGGATCCAAGATGCATTCGGCGCGTGCGAATGCGGCACGCGTTCACACATGTGTGGACAAGGGTCTTCAACAAGAGGGATACCCAACATGCGTGTGGCACGCGTGCGGTGACGTACGACGTATGATTTGGTCCCGCGTGCACCTGGCACGTCTTTTTTCCAGTGAGAACATCTGCCCAGGGCTTTCTTTGTCGGTCGGGCCAGACCTGAGGGTACTCGAGCAGCAGGAGGTGGTGCCAATGCGCGCGCGGAAGAGAAGGGTACCCAACATGCGTTCGGCACGTGCGTGAGGCACGTGTTTTGACGTGTGGGTTGTTCCCACCTGCATCTGGCGCGTCCTTTCTCCTTGAGAAGGCATGCAACTCGTGTTTTGTTCCGTCGGGCCTGTGGCCCTAGACAAGAGAGGTTGGCACACATCATATGTCGGAGTGTTTCGCACGTGGAGATGTGTGCGCAGAGGGCAAGTGAGAAGGAGAAGGGCTTCTCAGAAGGTGGCGGGGCTTCTCAGAAGCCCTCGCGCCTTCTGAGAAGTTTTCCGGTCATCGGGGAAGGCTTAGAAAAGAACTCCTCAGAAGGCCGGGGAATTTCCGAGCCTTCTGAAAAGGCCTTCTACTTCTCACTTCCCCCCGGGCTCGCCGCCGAAGAAATTCAGCAGGCTGGGGTGTCTTCAACATTCTCGGCACGTGCGCAATTGGCATGCGTGTTCCAAGTGTTTGGGCGCCAAGAGGGCATCCAACATGCGTGTGGCGCGCGATCTGAAATGGAGTCTGGGGGCCCGGGGGGGTATCCACCATGTTTTGACCGGCGATTTATTCTCGGCTGCAGAGGCACGTCAAGCAGGATGCGGGCCTGCCGGCAAGTGCCCCGCGCTAATCTCTTGCACCCCCGATGGCCCCAGGGGGGGCCATCGGGGGTGCAAAAAAAAACGATGGCCCCCGGGACCCACAGAAGCTCCGGGGCACCCTGGGGCCCCTCAAAGACTCGAGAGACCGATGCCATCAGATGGCATATTGGTCTCTTCACCGGCCAGGTGGGACCCTTCACCGGCCAGGTGGGGCCCTTCACTGGCCTCGGCATCGCTGGGACGTGTGCATTTTTTGCTCGGCGAGGGCCTTCGAGGAGTATCCTCGACCATTTGGCGAAGAAACCACGCACGAAACCGAAACGAACACAGGAAATGGACGTCCGAGCGATGGCCAGTGGCTGATCCGTTCACCGGCTGACTGGGTGTTTCACTGGCCACGTCTTTCAATTGAAAGTTCATTGCGTTTTTTCATGAACGCCCCAAGCCCCCAGGAATGAATATACATGGTTAGGGTCGCGGAAAGATTTTCAGGTGTTCTTTGATTTGTCATGCTTTTCGGAGGCCGGTGAAGAGACCGATTCTGGATCTGTGCCACGGTGTAAACCACGATGGCAACGCAGCTACGAGAAGGAGGAGGAGGAGGATGAGGAAGGGAACGAAGAACATGAGGATGAGGAGGACGAAGAGGAGGAGGAATCGGAGGAATCGGAAGAGGAAGAGCCCCGCGGTGCAGTGTCTCATAGGTTTCCCGAGGAGTCCCCAGTGTCGCGAGATCTCACAGGTTTTCCCAGGGACCCAAGATCTCGTCGGTTTCCCCAGGAACTTAGGACCTCATAGGTTTCCCCAGGGATCCAAGATCTCATAGGTTCCCCAGGAATTCAGGATCTCATAGGTTTCCCCAGGGATCCAGGATCCCATAGGTTTCCCTGGAGGCTCCTACGGAGTTCTGCTGTGAACAAGGGTGTGCGCACCAGCGAGGCGAGAGTCCAGCCGGGGAAGGGTCCCACTTGGCCAGTGAAGGGCCCCACCTGGCTGGTGAAGACATTTTCTACTTCAAAGATCGACGAAGGATGCGCTTCAAAACGATTTATGATAGATGGACGCAGGAAAAGCGGCTCAATCATCACAAGCTTGCGGAGGTCCGCACGAATTGCTTGGATCTGCGCTTGGCTTAAGTCGGGCCCGTCCCTCTACAGGAGGAATATATTCAAAAATAGTCCCAAAATAGTATGGGGACTATTGTTTGAGTATTTGTTTGACTATTTTGGAGTTTTTTTTGCATTTTTTCATTTTTTCTTTAATTTTCGTTAAAAAATATCCCTGTAGGGGGACACGCCCGACTTAAAACGCTTGGCCCCCCTCCCCGGCGCGAGGAGCCTGCCAGGGGCGGCGCCGGAGGCACAGCAAGGGGGGATCCAGCGCCGATTCAGGAAATCCGCGCGGGACTCCATCGGTTTCTGCGTGTGCCGCTTTGTATTGAGTCGGGCCCGTCCCTCTACCGGAGGAGTACAGAAAAATAGTCGAAAAATAGCCTGGGGATGATTTTGAGACCATTTTTTGACACCTTTTGGAGTACTTTTTGGGGGGGGGGGGTTTATTTGTCACCCAAAGTCACCCTGTAGGGGGACACGCCCGACTTGATGCTTGCTTGTGCCGCTTTGAATTCGTCGGTCGTGGCAGGCTCTCGTGGTCGCCTGTCCCCCGAGCCCGCCCGCAGGCCCCTCGGCAGGTTCCCGGGAGGCCCCTTCGGCAGGCTCCCGGGAGGCCCCCCGGAAGCCCTCTCGGAGAGGCCTCTGACCGGGTGCGGAAAAGAGGGGGGTGATGACTAG